GGCTTCTGGCCCGAGAGACGCGGGTTCGAAACTCGAGTGTGGCGGCAATTTTCGCCGCTACACTGGAGTTGAGCTACCACCACCACCTGATGACGTCCAACGAGACAGAAGAGGCCTTCGTGAGTGTGTTCTCCGTTTGTCGATAAATACCATTACATACCATTGTTACTAAAAGTTAGCGAGTAACATACATAATTGGGGTTCCAATTAGCTTGCAAAACGAACACTGTAAAACAGGATGAGTGCATCCTCAAACAGATCGGTGTAAAATAACCCATTAATGTCAATATTTCCCTACGCAAACCGACAAGGCAAGGCGGTCGTCGCTCAATGGTTAGAGTGTTAGGCTCTGCTCAAAATTTCGCGAGTTAAGGGCTCTGTTTGTACACCATCTTTTTCTGGGTACGACTAACTGACGACGACTAATAATCCAGAAATGGCCATTGTAGTCTTTCTGGTCTTTACCGGCAATAGTAACTGCCTATACTACCGGCTGTTACAGCTGCTGTCGAGGCAAGAGGAATTACTTATTTTACTTAGTTCCCAATACCCGTGTAGCTCTATATTTTAATTATGGCACTCTTTGTTGTTGGCAAGTATTACAGTATTTAAATAATTATTCCTTTTTTTCTACCTTTCATATTTAATTTTTTATTTACAGTTCCTGTTCACTCTTTAAGCTTGATTATAGCCGGTCGCGTATTACTGGAGGATAGGGTGTTCGGAAGCTGCCCTGGAAAGTTAATTAGACGTATACTAGGAAAACTTTAGAGCGAAACAGGGGTGATGAAATGTGCAAATCTAGGAGCTGGATATCACCAAAGTCAATTCAGGCTGCATTTGTGCTCTATCTCTTTATATACGTAAGGCGTCACCCACCATGTATAGGCCACCTCCAGGTAGCGCAATGTACAAATGGTTCAGGCCCGAACATGCACTCGGAAGGATTTTTTGGAGTTCACCAATGAATGTTTAGCAAAAATGAGCGCAGAATTCTGTTTCCATTCTTTAACAGCCACCTAGGCCGATGCTCTATAGAACTGGCTGCCAGTTGCCGTCGCGTTTGCTTGGGAAATAAAGGTCCCCTGAGCCAAATCTCACTTCACGGTGAAGTACAGTGGCGCGTGTGGCTCCTCAGGTCGACCTGCTTTGGCAAGTGCCTTCTCACAATCAGCGAACTGTGCACTATTTGATTGGGAACCAGCCGCTGAAAGGATGGTTTATGTGAGTTTGAAGAGTCATGTCATGAATACAATTGCTGTCCCCGTGTACAAACTAACATTCGCTGCCTAACAGCAACATAAGAACGTTTTTAAAGAAGCTACAAGCATTAGTTTAAAGGATGCTTCACCGTGGTCTTCTGATTGTTGCCGGGGAATAGAATGGCTGGACTGGACCTAGTGAGTTCACAAACAGTCATCTTATTCAGAAGAAGAAGATGGGCTCACTGGAACAAGAGTTTATTATCCTGAGATTTCGGCTTCTGTCGAGAATCCATAATCATGGGTAATCGTAGGAAATCGCAGGTAATCGTAGGGAAGTCGGAGACATGCGCAGATAAGGATGATACGTGCACAGGTTGAACGGTATTTATAGTTCGTAGCGGTCATTCGCATGTCTAATATAATTATCAGTTCCCATGGCCACCGCTTCAGGTCTTAATTGGTGCGGTGATGGCTCATTAATTGCCAAAACGTTCTTGTCCGCGTCGGATGCGGGTTTGATTATTGCGCGACCATTATGCCCGCCGTCGTCAGATTGATGCTGCGTCCGGTCCTTCCCACGTGACTGATTCTCTCGCTCAGGAAATATCTCAGTACACCGTTTGGGAACGCCAAATCGTTGCACTTGTTGATGGACGTTGGCGTCTTTCTTCCTCACCGCCGTTGCATGCTCGACGATTCGCGTCTGGAGTAATCTCCCGGTTTCTCCGACGTAGTCGCTTTGTCCACAACTGCACCAGATCC